TTTTTGTAATTATTGTTTATGTGACAGTCCTCCACGAAAACAGTTGTTGTTGATATTGTTGATGATGCTGAATCATCGTATTCTCCCTCCTCAAACAGAAAGTCTAGGCACATGTCCATGTAATCATAATTTAAGCCACAGTCTTCAACAATAACGGTTGTTGTTGACTCATTTTCCTGAAACAAAGTGTCCAAGTACAGGCTGTTCTCATCGATCACAGTTTTCACTTGAGAGCCGTGGTAGTTTTTACAAAGAGGTTCATCCTCATAATAAAATTCTTCAAAGATAGATTCATCATATTCCAGATGATCAATTATTTCCATGCATTCACTATCACTGCTTTCAGAATAATAATCATCACTACTATCCGTTTCACTGTCACTTCTGTCAGAATAATAATCATCACTACTATCCGTTTCACTTTCACTGCTCTTCGAGTTGCCATCATAGACTCGTAAACCGCTTCTCCAAACTCTTCTTGTCTGTTTTCGGGATGAACGATATTCTGTAAATTAAAACAAGTTTTATTAAAAGTTGGTACTAGGTTAAGTATTCGATGTCTTACCCTAGTTTATATTACTCTCGGTGGAAAACGCTGTACTGGATTAACATTATTGTACATCAAGCACAACGTTTCCGATCGACTGTGATACAAAACAGTCTAGCTTTACGATATTCATAATACTACAATTCAATATTAACTACCTTCTTCTCCAGCGTCACTTGTATCAACGACCATAGACTCGGTGCAGTGGTCCATCTTCAAGTGATTAAGTCAATTACTAGTATAACAAAGAATTACAAACCGTGAACAGAAAATATTATTTTCGTGACACGTACAAAATGTAAAATGACTCGCGATGTGCTCCAAACATTCGAATCATCGCGTTATCAAGTGACGTAACAATGTAACAGTAGACGCAAGCGTCGTGTCGTAAACAGACGAATCTTTTTACAAGCTATAGAGGGCGCGATTTCACGTCGGTGCTGCTTGTCTGCGCGTTGTCAGTAGCAGAACAACGTCGGAAATTAAAATATGCAATGTACATCAGATTTTAATCAGATTGACATTTATTATGATACATAACTTTTCAGTTGAAATTGTTCAAATCGTGATAATGATAACATTTTGTTTTATTGTTGTGTGTTTTCCATACTACATACTTAAAACGATGTTTGGTGCATTAGTTCACTGTAGACGCAGATACAGTCTTACGTAAAATAAACCTCAAACACATTCAGAGAAACAAGTTTTAGTTGAAAGTATTTGAGGAAGCTAGCTTCTTGAATTCACTAATCGTGTATTCGGATTCGTTAATTTACGTCACTTCTGGGTCAGACTCAAAATCTGCGATATCCCCAAGACAACTACAGATAAAGCTACTATATAACTGTCATGATATATATTTTCATGTATTTCGGTGCGGCCGCTTTTTGTAGTCATAGCGACTTATAATGGTGACCCCTGGATAATCCGCACCTGCTCGTAACTTGTCATGATCAGGTTCATTCGTATGTTGGGGAATTAGTAAATGGGACTGGCTGATATAATGGTCGACTATAGAAGTTGGTTAAGTCAACGAGACGCATATAAGTATGAGAGTTATTCCCGACATCGGAGGCAATTAATCAGACATTATGGCGTGTTGATTATTTTGCGTGGTTGGCTATATGTGTGGAGGCCACGCCTCGAGCTCTTAAACTCGCTTGTAATTGGCTAACAGTTAAGAAGTGAATAAAGCTGATCTCAGTTAGTTGTGGCAAGCTCACCCCGGGGGCAAGCAGTCCTGGGGCAGTGTTCACATGGTCTTGAGAGTGTTCCGACGTGGCGCTGAGATGAGAGGTAGAAACGATTCGATTCTCTGTGTGTCTTTGTTCGATAGAAAGGTGGAGAATTCCCCGAACTTGGTACCTCTGACGTGAAGGTTTAATAACACTCAAATTAATTTTTCACACGACAATATAATGTAATATTACGGAACACAGTAATTGGCGCCAATCTAGAATTGCATATAGTCTCTTGATTATCTGTTGTTGTTTTCTTTAATAAAATTAAATGTTGTGGGAGTGTAAATGGCGAAAGCCAAGTTACCGCTAAAGTCGGGTTACTGCGTTTTTGTAGATGCAAGTCTAGTGCCAATCGTGAAAAGTTATTCTCTCGTCATGACCGTCCTTCATGGCTCTAAATGCGCAGAGTATAAGTTGTATAAATGTATCTGGATCATGAAGAATATACATTGGACATTTACGACATTTTTAGCGTATATTGGCCGTCGTACTTATTTACGTTTGACCATTATTTATTTATTTGACCATAGACCCTTTATGACCCTCAACAAAGGGGCTGTGGTTTGACGCACCAGAGAAGCAAATAAAGGCATTGTTCGCTGATGTTATTTTTAATATTCATGTGTGTGTCTTAGAACATGGCCTCCATGGTTATAACAACTTATAGGCATCTTTGTAGCAGCATATCGCGATTAGTGTTGATCAGTTCAGTGAGCAACGGACATCTGCTATCCCACATTGACAAGCTGGTTAGCACACATGTAAACAAACGACGTCACGATGTGCGGCCCATAGTGACACAATTGGCATAACATGGCAATTTATTTGCAAATACCATAGTCTATAATAAAAACAGGATCCGTCATAAAAAACATTAAAATAATGTATTTTTGTAATAATTCTAAACATCCAGTCAACAAGTACTTTTTAAGACATTGTAGGACACTATAGTTGTTCTCTCTATATTTGTCTATCATTGTCATAGTAAACAATCATAAAAAATGCCCTGAAACTGGCATAACATACCATGTTCACTTCATTTTGTAGATCAATTTTCTCCGAACTGAGTACAACGACTCCCACCATATTTTTATTTCACTATCTCCATTTTTGTACTATATATACTCACACATGAACAAATTAAGAGCATGAAATTATTTTCACTTTTGAGTGGCATTATATCTTAATCGCATATCCCAGCATATCTTGATAATCCTTTGATAAATACTAGTATATCAACAGAATTCTCAATAAAATGTGGCTGGTTCAGGAAAAAAAAAATGCATTTTGTGTTCCACTTACCCGCATCCCCTATTACAGAATGGTATGTCCCTGTATGTCACATGATTTTTAGTCGCCGCCATATTGAAAATAATTCATTTGGATTTACAGCTGTATTCGCTGGTTCTTTTTCAATATCCCACGAATTATTGATTGGCGATGTCGTACCAAAGGCTAGAACATGCTATCCAAGGTAGTATAGATACTGGAGAAGAAATTTCTGGCAGACATTTGCAAATTGCTACAAGTTTACTTGCAGCTCAAGCCAACGATGTGCGATCTCACAGGGTAAATTGGCAGTCGTATCTGCAGTAAGTAATAATCTAATATTTGATTACTGTTTTTATATATGCTGGCATTAATTACTAATCGAATAATTTGTTAATTCGATAGCAAGTTCCTTTTCATGCTAGTGTTCGTAGATAAACATTTCGTAGTCGTACCAGCAACTTGATAGCACGCTTGTCAAGAATAGATTTGTCCAGTCGCAATGTTGTATCGTTAGTAAATTAACGTTCATCTTTGAGACAATTTAGATTTTATTTCATGAGAATTTTTTGATAATTATTATTATTTTTTTATTTTGTTCTTCCAGGGCACTCAGCAGGTATCTTCAACATTTTCCCCAATTTATTAATTTCACATTTTCTTTAATAATGCCTGCATGTTGTGGTTCTTATATTGTACTATTGGTGGTAAGACCGGGATAACACAATTCTAATCACATTACAGGTTTCTTCTTTGGTGGAATTCTCTCTTTCTCCTTGCCAACTTTTGCTAACATTTTTCAATCTGGGTGTATTTCTATATGGTTATGTATAGAACGGTGATATGGGAATTTATTGACATGATGATATACTTTGAATCAATGTAATTCTAAAAATAGAACACCTGTTGTACAAGTGCTACTACCCCGGTACTCTGACTAGGGTGTAAAGTACAAATAAAATGTTTCAGCCTCCAAATATTAAATTGAAAGAACTCAAATGGTTTTACTCCATGTTTCAGCCTCCAAATATTAAATTGAAAGAACTCAAATGGTTGTACTCAAAGGAGATTTTTGATGCTTAAAGTGCCTGTGAAATGGCTGCTATTTTCACGCCTAAAATTATCCATTGATACATAAATATTATTAATTTTTATGTTTCTAAGCATTAATTATTTTTTTGAGTGAAAAAATGTGTTTTCAACTCAATCTACGGCAACTTTATTTTTGTGTATTTTAAAACGAGGCTCCTCATTAGCTTCTTATTTGCATACAGAAATTCCCCTTGTGACGTCAGAAGGGGAAGTCGCATGGCAGCTTGCATTGCTGATACGTGTAAATAAGGCAAATTTCTTGTGCAGTTTTCTCGTCTTTGACTAAATTTTCACTTATGTACTTGTTCGTCGAGGAGGAATGGACCATAATGAACACATAGTATCAATTTGTGTTGCATGGGGTTGAGTTAGATGCGAAATAAATATGTCCGTTCTGGTGTAGCTGGTCACCGTGATCGTCACCGGCACACGTTTGTACACTGTCGCTGGACAAAATAGGTTACTAGGCACGTCACTACACTGTTTTATTTCATCGATCGTCTGAGTAAAACTTTCAAAATTAAAATAAAAGAGAACATATTTTGACATTCTAAACGTTAGACTATAGTGATCACTATAAAATAATTAAAAAATGACAAATCACAGTTACTAAATAAATGACAACCGCGTGGAAATAAATTTTGTTGAAATAGGTGAACGCGTCGGGTCACGATGAGGGCAAGTGCGTTAAAAGCGGTGTTTAATTGGATAACAAAAATAATGGAGATCGACACACATACAGATAAATTCAGAGTTGATTCGAGTTAGCGTGATCCATGGAGTGATTGTCATAATTATAACATCATATTAAAACTTTATTTAGTGGAAACACATTGACCAAGCCCGGATTCTTATTTCATAAATTATTACGCAGATCAAGCTGCAAGCATGGAGGTAAAAAAGAAGAGAGGTGTGAATTCGACATTCAACACCAATCACCAAACAATTCAGAAACTTTTAGCCTTCGAAAATGAAAACAATTTGCAGTGTGTAAAGGCTGTGTAATTTCCTGTTTGTCCGACACTTCATTTTCGTGTCACTGTCAAAATTATTATTAATGGTCTCTATAAAACGATAATCAGGATCGCAAAAAAAGTCAACTCATTTAAAACACTTGTCATCTCTCTCTCTCTCTTCTGAAATCCGCCTCGGTGATCATGGTCCGGAATCTATTTCTTTTAAAAGTGTTGCGCCAGGTTTATGTTATCGGCGTTTCTCTTTAAATCTAGTTGTTTTTTTCATGGACGAGGAAAGTTTTTCAAAAAAAAGAAGCTGAGGTTAAGTGGCTTTCGTCCACTGATGTCGCACTTTCGGATCGATTAGAAACGTGTGAATACTTACACTATGACTATACGTTTCACTGCAACAAAAAAAAGGGAAAAAAATGCCGACCGAAAAATGTATATTGTTTAAAAGTATACTGAATGACCAGTGTTATTTCGGCTCAGGGGTATGACTTCCTCTCACATTTTGGCATTTGGCGGCGCACTTTCGGCGAGAGTCGGAAATCCGGAAACAGTCGACCGTTTCAGGATAGGTGGGCGTGGCTACAACACGAGAAATATCCCAAATTTACTTGGATACGAGTAATCATTTTCAGCAAAAAAATCAATAACTGCCCATTTCAGTGGGACACAGGTCTAAAATGGGAAACGTGAGGGTGGGCATTTCACAGGCACTTTAAATAGAAAAAAACTATATTTGCTGACAGAAACCTTTTGTCAAAGGGATGCTGTTAGATCTGTGCACATATTTCTGTTTTCTGGATACTAAAACTCATAATGTTGGACTTTGACATATAGTATTATCATGTCTTTTTTAGTGTAATTTTATTAGTTGGTCAATTCCTAGATGGTGAGACTGAATTAATAGTTATAGTAGTAAATAACAGTAGTTTGATTCATAACATGGTTTTATATGTATAATTAGCATAGGGGGCTTGAGAGGTCACGTACCATTCACTTTCACTGTCGGTGGCGGCTTTCAGCAAAATACAAAATAGTATGTGGCCGGGTTGCAATAATTATTAGAATAAAGTAGAAAAATGTGACTATACTAAATTTGAAGAATAAGTTTTTTTAGTCAATTTGTTCCAAAATAAACCATCACCACTTTGATGGAAAAATAACATTAGTGAGTCTAGAACTGTTGGACTGGCAAGTCTCAAATTGATAAAAAGATAAATACTGATGAATATGACATACATTTTTAGCAACCAATTTATATTTCCATCATCATAACTTACTATGCATTTTATCAAAAGTCTGGTCTGTTTATTATATTTCTTATTTTGGCTCAACAACATTCAAGCATCGCCAGAAATTTTTTAAAACATTGTTCAGATGGTTCGGCCTCAGTAGAGGCTATCAACCAAATTACAGGTACTTAATGTTGACAGTAGTGTCATCAATTCATCAGCTGGTACACACCTCTGTACAGCCACTCAGTATCTGTAAAATCTATACTTTTATTGCACCACATGTACAATGTAACTACGATATGTACACTTTAAGGGTCAGAAAACAAATTACCAGGACTTGCACACTCTATAAATCTAATTATTGTAACAATGTCAGACTAAATAATTTATATCGCTTATCATTCCTTATCAAATAAGTCTAATAATAAAACTAATGGTGATGGGTGGTTGCATGCTAAGGGCATATACATGTATAAGTAGAATGTATTGAATGTTTCACACTGGAATGATACATTTATTTTGGAACAATTTTGTGACATACTTGGTGTTCAGTGTAGCAGCATATAGAATGTGTTAAAGTATCTGCTCTGATTTGTGGTACACCATTCCCACTGCTAAAAAAAAACAATATTGGATAATGTTTTTTCAAGCCATCATATACCAGAATGTTGCTTAATTGTTCCAAAACATCAATAAAATTATCACTTGGTGTTCAGTTTCAACAAATGCTTCATGTTTATTACTGGTGAGTTTGTTTTGTTTTTGCTTGGCTGAAACTGCACTGACCTCACATTTTTGTCTGTTGCGTTAAAGGGCAGTGGTCATTGTGGCTGTGTGTAATTATGCAAATCAATAACACACTTGTCCCACATGTATTGCTATGCATAGTGTGGGACCCATACCACAAATGCTCATCGATGCCCAATCACAGCCCTTCAATTGCTTCAAAAAAACATTTATGTGAGCAAATATGCATTTAATGGATAAGGTTTATGAATATGCAGAACTTAAAGTGGAGGGGTCATCACCTGCACAAGTGGGAATTGAGTCCCAAGTGTTGATAACAATACACGTTAAAAACGCAAAGGCTCATGGGTAGAATTTTGTTTGTAAATAATGACCATCTGATGCATGTGCAGGTGACAACTACCCCGTAGCATATCATTAGTAATATGGTTGAATAGTTTATATCTATTGTCACAATGCACAGAGATTCTATTTTTAAAAGATGCAGGTACATTGTATGTAGAGTGAAGTTGGTAAACAATATATGGTTTGAAAACAGATTTTGTAATCCCATATGTGATTGTGATTGGATAATAACCAGAAATAAAATATTCATCATTGTAGTCACCATATCAGTCAAAAACGTGCACATTACATTGTTTTTCAACAGAATGTTTGAAAATATAAACAAAAACTTACAAATTTACCAAAGATTTTAGAATAAAATAAAACTGAAAAGCCACCCTTGTATATCAATTTGAAAAAAAGGTTAATAAGAAACATGCTTCTGAATTATTGTTATGCCAAAGTTTCTGATTTGGCCTCAGATTATGAATAATTTACATAACTGTCATTTATAAGATATTATGCAGGGAAATTAATTGGGGTAATTAGATACTGGTATTACAAAATAATATGCACAAATGAAAGGCTACATTTTCCTAGTGCTCAGTCTCTAGCCCTCAGTATCACTCTTACATGTAAAAAATATTCATTTTTGCAACATTTCTATGAAGAGATAGTGCATTGCATGTTACCATGGTGATAAAAGATATTAAATTTTCAATTTAAATTAATATTTTCTGCGTCTTGACAGAGGTCAGATGATTTCCAAGGAAGAGTTCACCTTTATCCGTGAATTTGACAATGCAACAAGCAGTGAACAAAGAGACCAGGTTTTGAAACGATATGGACCCCAAGCAGCAAAGATATTTCTGAGTTTAATGGGGCATATATCAAAAGACCAAACAGTGCAATACATTCTTACTTTGGTGGATGACATGTTACAGGTATTATGTGACCATCAGATCATTAAATAATTTACAGTAGCCTATGGGGTACAGTCTATTATCTCTTGTCCTAGGGTTACTATTTTCCAATATTAGCAATTTATAATATAGGAATAAAGCACCACTGCAGCCTGATATACCATAAAATATTTTATAATTCACAACAAATATGCACAATCATGTATTTAATTTTTGCAATAACTCTTGACTGCGGAAACTTCAGTGGTGGTTTATTCCTGTTATGTAATACCAACTTCATTTGAATTCTAATTCGGAGACATGGAAATAACTTTAAAGCAAAAAAACATGTTCATTGCATACAAAACATTTGTTGATTGAAATGGACGATAATAGCATACAGCTATTCCGGATACTCTGAATGATGTATCAAATTTACATCTGTATTTCTGGATTGCAAGCTTTATTTGTGTAGTTTATTTTTAGCTGCAATGTTTATAGTTTGATATGGTTACCAATTAGTGATGTACATGTATGTATTATCAACATTTCCAGGCAACTGTAATGCTGCTATGTTTGTTTGTTTGTATTCATTAACTATTAGACTACCCATTGTTACAATGCACTTCCAATTTTGCTATTATGGCTGCTACTGAGAATATTATTTAACTTTTGAATTTTATCTTGTTTGTCTCTATCTTTATTCAGATAGTAAATTGCCACAATGTATTTATATGCAAATTTTAAATCATATATTCATTTTATTGATTTTACACATTTTGTAATGTGTGTGTTATTTACAAATTTTCCAACCTGAAGTCTAAAGAAATATTATTCAAATATTCCGGGCATTTTTCATGTCAGTTACAAATCATCCTTGTTTTAAAGGTTATTTTGTCAAAATTTTAGAAAAAATAAGATATATCCGATGTTCATAGCAAAATTACAACACAGTTTTATTAACAATTTTAAAATTGTAAAAAAACATTGATGAAAATATTTTCCTTATTTCTCTCTCTGGGTCTTAACATTGATTTAATACACATAGTTGTTACTCCACTATACTAATGTCTTGTTATTTCATTCCTAAGGAGAATCATGAAAGAGTATCTATATTTTTTGACCATGGTAAAAAATGCAAAACAACGCCTTGGGCTCAGTTCCTGAATATGCTAAATAGGGAAGACAAATTTGTCATCAATCAGGTAATGTAACTGCCACTAGAGGGCATATATTTTTTTTATTGAAAAATCCACCTACGCTGACTTTCAACACAGGCAGTTGGACCACCCAAAACAAAAGAAACTATTGCAGAAGCTAATTTAAAATTTTATACATTTTTTTAGTCCCCGTTCCGACGCAGTCCGAAAACGGGGACTTATGTTTTGACCTCCGTGTGTCCGTGTGTCCGTGTGTGCGTCTGTGCGTGCGTCCGGACCTGTATCTTAGAAATGCCTGGACTAATCACAATCAAACTTCACACATACATCATATATGATATTATACATATGCACGTCAATTTGTTTCACGATCTGATTCAAGATGGCCGAATGGCGGTCATTTTTGTGCTAAAAAATCCTAAAAATCAACCAATTCTCGGCTGTTTACAGATGGGTTTTGTTCAAACTTGGTATATACATTAGACATTATGGGACCTTGATGCAAATAATTTTGTTTTTCAGATAAGATTCAAATGCCATTTTGTTTTAATGAATGGGCTTCTAGACCCATATCTCCGACTTGTTTTGACTGATATTATTTTCAAATTTTAAATATTCATTATACATCATGTCATAGATAAACAGATATATTGGTTTGACGTTCCTATTCCAAATGTTGGTAATTTTTGTGCTAAAAAATCATTAAATATCAAGCATTTATGGGTGGATTTCGTTCAAACTTGGTACATACATTAGACATTATGGGTTCCTGATGCTCGTCATTTTATTTTTCAGATTGGATTCAAAATGGCTGACTGACGGCCATTTTGTTTTAATGATTGGGCTTCTAGAGTCATATCTCTTAAATGCTTTGACTTGTTATATTTAAATTTTATATATTCATTATACATCGTTATATATATACATGTATTCAAAATGGCTGATTTTGAATGCTGTTCCAGAGCAATATCTCTCAATATGGTCAAGTACTTGTTTGACGATCAGATACAAATGTCAATCATTTTAATGTTAAAAAATCATATTCCTGACATGTTTATATTCCAGCTATATTACTATAAACATAACTATATATCTTAAATTTAATAACTAACTGGGACTGTGCCATGCATGGCTTGTTCTTGCTGGATTAAAAAGCATCTTTCTCCAAAAAAAAATCACATTAACGAACCTCATGCGCCAAATACAATTATTTTGTTTCATTTTATTAGTACCGAAAGTATATTCTAAAAGAAGTTTAAAATAAAATTGAACCCAACTGCATTGCTTAGTAGCAAATGATCACGGTAGCGCAATCCGATCATGCTGTGTTTCACAATTGTTGATTACTACCTAGTAATGATTATAATAACAAAAAAAAAAATTTGTTGAATTGTTATGAAATGCAAATAAATTTCATCATAAGCAAATGATTCCGATCGCATTTTTAACACTTGATGCTGTAGAAATGAATATTCGCCATGTTTTGACGTGGGACGGTGTTCTTTGACCTGACAGGTCAAATCGCTAATTAACCAATGAAAATGATGGATGATGCAAACGTGTTAAAGTACCATAGTACATTTAAATATGTTAATGTTATTGACCACAGAAGAGATTTGCCGATGGTGTTGTACGATCTTTTGGCTTGGATTTTGATGGGAAAGCAACATAATTTGTTTTTAAATAACAAAAAAAGTTGTTTTCAAAAGATAAACTGAGCATTTGAAGAATAATTTAACATCGTTTACAGCGATAACAGCTCATTGTCGAAATGAAGCTTATCCATTCACGCTAGTCGCAATGAACATCAATACTCTTCAATAGGCCTCAGGGCAAATTTACGGCAGAATCCGGTACATGTATATGGCATTGCAGTCTGTAAATGCTATTAGTTTGTTGAGTAAATGAGATTTCAATACAATTCTTTTTTGATGTTATTGAACATTTTGCTGTCAGAAGTGACTGAGTTCATGATGTGAGGGAGTATTTTGTTGTCAGATGTGACTAAATTCATTTTGTTCATAGTCATTTGGTTTTTCAAATCTAGGCTGGTAGAGTCATTGCTAAACTAGCGTGCTGGGGCCGAGAGACAATGTCTGGCAGTGATTTGACATACTACTACACATGGATAAAAAATCAGTTAACAGCCCCTGGTAATGAGTATCTACAAGCAGTGGCCGGATGTCTACAAATGTTACTGAGATACAATGCATATAGAGAGTCATTTATGGAAGCTGGTGGCCTAGGAACGTAAGTATTATTGTAAAGATTGCATTCATTCAAGTAATATTTGTGAACTAAAATTGTCATTTGCTCTCTTTTCTGAGGGGGGTGCATGGGTAAGCGATTTTCTGAGGGGGGTGTATGGGTAAGCAATTTTCTGAGGGGGGTGCATGGGTATGCGATTTTCTGAGGGGGGTGCATGGGTAAGCGATTTTCTGAGGAGGGTGCATGGGTAAGCGATTTTCTGAGGGGGTGCATGGGTAAGCATGAGTTGAGAACCCTGGGCGCTAACACAGTCCAGTATGGTACTATTGTAAAAATGGCATTCATGTAATGCCATTTGAGAGACAGCTGACTAAGTATAAACACAGTAACAGTGAACCTCTCTCAAACGCATTGAGTGTGGTGACCTTTGCAGTCCAAGGACTAAGCTACTCAACCAGGCTCAGTCAAACACAAGCACCTGCGGACCTTAACCAAGGTTTCCCCCAAAACGCATTTGTTAGTGAATGAATCTCGGCCAGTGGATTAGCCTTCCCATTGAGTCTGTGGCACACTCACCCAGGGATGTTCAGCCTAAGGTAGGATTTGAACTTTGGGCTACCAATCATGAATCCGACTCGACAACCACTATGCTACCAGTGACTAAGCTACTCACACTTTTTGACATGTGTGTATTTTTGTAATTAAAAATAAAGTTCACAATAACAAATGCCCAGACATTTGCTCCTGAGAAGAATCATGAGGAAACAAGGCTTGTCCAGAAATGATGAATACGCGTATGGATGGAATACTGACTACAATGACATGCTATTTTTTGTCAGGTTATTGACAGTTCTGGGCGGTCGTTGTGGATTTCAAATTCAGTATCAGTTAATATTCTGTATCTGGATGGTATCATACAACCCTTCCTTGGCAACACAGATGAATCGGTAAGTATTATGGGATATTCTGTTTTACAACGTCTGAGAAATACTATATCCTCCATGAATTTATTAGATGTGAATGATTCTGATATAAAGCTATTGGCTACTGCTGTCATGTGATGTATTACCATAAATTACTCATTGATTAACGTGTTCAAATTTCATGTAAACAATGTATTTTACACGCATTGTGTACATTACTGTGAGTCCCATATTGAACAGGATGTGGCACGACGACTGCCGCCATTTTAATATTCTTAATTTCAATTTCTAGATATAATGTAATTCCAGTGTTAGGTGATATATTGGGTGAATCTGCTAAAGAGAAGGTGACAAGAATCATTCTTGCTACATTTAGGGTATGTGTAAAATCTTGTGTTTTTTTTAAAATGTAACGATACATGTCTGTATAGCCATTTGAATAAATTCATTATCACTGGTGGCAGGAAAAAATTCCTGAAAATAATTTGAAATTGTGAAAGAAATATTTTAGACCATACATGTATTTGCTCTGTTAAATTTGTATTCTCTAATAAAAGCACAGCTACCAAACAGTTGTTTGCAATGGATGCTGGATCATTCAAATATGACTTTTTTTAATATGGACACATCTCTGTCATTTATGTAAAATGCATCTACTGTTATAATACAGCAAATACTGTATTTGAACCATTACATTAGAGGTATTTGCCCTCTATGATTTCTGGTTTACATGCATGCAATCATGTTTCAGAATGACATTATTTACATTGTGTGCGGCTGCTATTGTCACTGTGTTTGCCAACATATCAAAATCAAATAAATTTATTCCTTAACTACCGGTACTGTGGATGGCATCAACATTGGGATGTTTTAAAAATTTTGTAAATATCAATTTTTATAAATCAAAATGGCTGTTGACAAATCATCATGAGTTTTAATTTATATTTATGAATTACTTCAACATCATTGAATCAGTAAACACTTTTAATTAATTTTAAAAAGTTGGGCGTCATAGACACTGCGCTACATCACAATCACAGTTACATGTATTTTAATGACTGATGGGCATCTGTATTTACAAAGTTTTATAAATATGTATAAACTAAGGAACAGATTTCTGCCATTCACTGTATTTCACAACCAGAAGTATCCAGTAAATGAGAATAAACTGATTTTTTCTATCACAGAATCTGATTCAAAAGCCAGAAGATATCGATGTGACACGAGAAAATGCATTGTCCATGATCCAATGTAAAGCATTAAAACAGCTGCAAGTTTTGGAAGGACAAAAATTTGAAGACACTGATATTGGAGAAGATATTGATTATCTAATTGAAAAACTACATGATAGTGTTGATGGTCTTAGGTAAATACAGCTTATTATTGCCAGAATATGATTTTCTAATTGGTCAATAGCATGTTTAGAAGAAAGCCCCGCACTTGAATAAGGCCAAAAAAAAAAAAAATTATGTTGCCCTCAAGTCGGAAAATTAAAAAATTGGTCGGATTTTTTTTTTTTAACTCGTGAAAACTTAGTGTATCGTAAATAGCCGAGGTACTTGTATATGGGGAAAAAAAACATGACCCGATATTTCATATTTTTCGGTCAGTCGCTGATACTCAGTACAGGGTTAAGGGTAGGGTTAAATATTTCTGTCACCAGAAATCAACAAAAATAAGATTTTGTACTGCAGATATAATGTGGAATGAAGATCATTGCCACCCAAAGATATTTTAGGTTCAAGTGAGAAGCATGAAAAAAACATTATTTTTAAAGAATGATGCCAGAAAAATTATTGCCATCTGTCGTGGCTCACTAGTGAACCCGTAGTTTTCATCTATCCTCAAAATGAAATCACGCATACAACACTTACCAACATCTGTATATTTTTGAAATTATTTTGATTGAGACAACTTTACCTATATCAGTGAATGATGCTTCAAACACAAAAAGTATTTAATAATAACAATGCTAAATATGACTGTTAATTTGCTCTACTGTTCGATTTATCTCTAATTGCTGTTTGCTAGTTCCAGGGCTCATTTTTATTTTACCACAGTTGCACGTTTTAGTGCTGTAATCACATTTGTACATGGTTCTTGTTATTTCTGTATCACAAAATTATTTTTAAAATGAAATTTGTATAATATGATGAGAATAACCACTTCCCAGAGATGAGTACCAATATACCACTTGATTTTGATACCGCTTGTGTGAATATGAACCTGGTGAAAATCTTGTGGTATACTCACCTCTGGGGGTGATTATTTCCTAATTATCTTATAGAAAAACTACATGACAATGTTGACGGTCTTGGACAAGTACTGCATTGTTTGAATTTCAAATTTGATGTCACTGGCATGAATTGTTTGTGTCACATGTGTATTTTATTTTGTGTCATATTTGAGTGTGTTTGAACTTTGTATATACAAACAAACAATGCTATCTGTATTGCACATTATGTAGAGAAATAATTATGAAACCTTACAAAACAGTATTTTTTTTGTGGATGACTGATAGCTGGACAAGTCATTTTTTTCAAATTGCATAATTTACATTGCTTTCTGTTTTAGTTCCTTTGATGAATATTCATCTGAAGTGAAGTCTGGTAGACTAGAATGGAGCCCTGTCCATAAAAGTGAGAAATTCTGGAGAGAGAATGTGTCACGTTTGAATGAAAGAAACTATGAACTATTAAAGTAAGAATCATCTATAAAATAATTGTTTCAATATTTCAATCAACCTCCAATAGTAACAAGGTTTTAAATTCTGTGCATGTAGAATTGCATCTCTATTGAAATCATATCTCTATTAGAATTGCATCTCTATTGAAATCATATCTCTATTAGAATTGCATCTCTATTGAAATCATATCTCTATTAAAATTGCATCTCTATTGAAATCATATCTCTATTAGAATTGCATCTCTATTGAAATCATATCTCTATTAGAATTGCATCTCTATTGAAATCATATCTCTATTAGAATTGCATCTCTATTGAAATCATATCTCTATTAGAATTGCATCTCTATTGAAATCATATATTAGTAGCACATTTGTTATATACTGTATCATTAAAATCTCATACATTTTGTTCATTGTCACACCTCTGTTTAATATTTATGTAAATGTATATGCTACTAATGAAGCAAATATGGCATGTACCGGATTCTGTCGTAAATTCGTCCACCCGAAAAATTGCCCTTGACGATTTCACCGCTGGTGGGCCTTTATTTGGGGTTCAAAACTTCAAAAAATGGTAATCAACCATTTTCTGGGGACTTTTTCATTGAAAAATCCACCTATGCCAACTTTCAACGCCGGCAGTTGGACAACCCAAAATGAAGAAACTATTGCAGAAGCTAATCTACAATCTTATACATTTTTACTTGCTGGATTAAAAAGTAGACCGCCTAAAATTTCATTACAATGTCACCCAGCTTATCTTTCTCAACAAAAAATACAATTATATTTTTTTCATTTTATTAGTAGTGAAAGTATATTTTAAAAGAAGTTTCAAATAGAAACGAACACAACTTCATTGCTTAGTAGCAAATGATCACGGTAGCACAATGCGGTCATGCTTCATTTCCCAATTGTTGATTATTACCTAGTAATGATTATAATAACGTGCAATTGTTACGAAATGCAAATAAAATTCTTCTTATTTCATCGTAAGCGAATGATTCTGGTCGCATTTTCAATGCTCGATGCTGTAGAAATGAATATTCGTTATGTTTGAAACAGTGTTCTTTGACCGGACAGGTCAAATCGCTAATTAACCAATGAAAACGATGAATGATGCTAACATGTTCAAATTTCCATAGTACATTTAAATATGTTAATGTTATTGAACACAGAAGAGATTTGCCGATGTTGTTGTACGATCTTTTGGCTTGGATTTTGATGGGAAGGCAGCATGATTTGTTTTTAAATAACAAAAAATTAGTTGTTTTCAAAAGATAAACTGAGCATTTGAAGAATAATTTAACATTGTTTACAGCAATAACAGCTCATTGTCAAAACGAAGCTTACCCATTCATGCTAGTATCAATAAACATCAATACTCTTGTATAGCCGTCAGTGACTATGGCGAAACTTTTAGGCATCAGAAAAGATTAAAATAACACCATAAAAAACTGCCGAAATATTTTTTTAAAGACCCCAACTGCCGTTTAACAATCCAGGGTGAATTTACGACAGAATCCGGTACATGCAAGGATTATTCACTAAAATTACAGTACTTTGTGAGTCACATCAAATACCTTTTCAAGCAAACTGATTTGTTGTGGATTCTCATAGAGTTTACTGTCTTATTTAAAGTGTCTTAGTTTTGATTTGTTGTGGATTCTCATAGAGTTGACTGTCTTATTTAAAGTATCCTAGTTTTGATTTGTTGTTGATTCTCATAGAGTTTACTGTCTTATTTAAAGTATCTTAGTTTTGATTTGTTGTGGATTCTCATAGAGTTGACTGTCTTATTTAAAGTATCTTAGTTTTGATTTGTTGTGGATTCTCATAGAGTTGACTGTCTTATTTAAAGTATCTTAGTTTTGATTTGTTGTGGATTCTCATAGAGTTGACTGTCTTATTTAAAGTATCCTAGTTTTGATTTGTTGTGGATTCTCATAGAGTTGACTGTCTTATTTAAAGTATCCTAGTTTTGATTTGTTGTGGATTCTCATAGAGTTTACTGTCTTATTTAAAGTATCCTAGTTTTGATTTGTTGTGGATTCTCATAGAGTTTACTGTCTTATTTAAAGTATCCTAGTTCTGATTTGTTGTGGATTCTCATAGAGTTGACTGTCTTATTTAAAGTATCCTAGTTTTGATTTGTTGTGGATTCTCATAGAGTTTACTGTCTTATTTAAAGTGTCCTAGTTTTGATTTGTTGTGGATTCTCATAGAGTTGACTGTCTTATTTAAAGTATCCTAGTTTTGATTTGTTGTGGATTCTCATAGAGTTTACTGTCTTATTTAAAGTATCCTAGTTTTAATTTGTTGTGGATTCTCATAGAGTTGACTGTCTTATTTAAAGTATCCTAGTTTTGATTTGTTGTGGATTCTCATAGAGTTGACTGTCTTATTTAAAGTATCCTAGTTTTGATTTGTTGTGGATTCTCATAGAGTTTACTGTCTTATTTAAAGTATCCTAGTTTTGATTGACTTATAGTATTACACTTTCATTTTACTTCATATTGAATTTAATGTAAACCTGTTATGCAGATTCAGGGCCAATGGAACACCATAGCATGATTTAATGTAAACCTGTTATGCAGATTCAGGGCCAATGGAACACCATAGCATGATATCCTGTTGAATTCATATATGTAAACCTGTTATGCAGATTCAGGGCCAATGGAACACCATAGCATGATATCCTGTTGAATTCATATTGAGGGCTGTGGTTAATGGATATTTAGTCATGTTACGTAAAACTTAGCGACATAGTTTGTACGCTAATTGGAATTATATTTTTAATTCCGTTACATTACCGTCACTAGCAAATTTTTCGAAACAGCTAAGCTGCTGACTAGTTTGCTATGCTGGTGTTGTGATCATTATGCAATTGCAACAAGTTGGGTCAAACCAAACTTAACAGGAAACGTCAAACTAATAGTAATGAACTTTGCCACATGAATATAAATATGAGATGTCTTTCATTGTATTACATCCAATCATATATATAAAAATAGCAAATGAAACAAAATATATGTATTGATGCAGTCTCACATATCAGGACATGGTCACTAGTATGTTTAGTGCATTACATAATGCTGATTTAACTTGTTCTAATTATGTAATGATCTGAAGGAACACATAAAAAACCAGTCAGCTGCTGAGCTGGCAATTTGGCTGTTTGGTGTTCTGAACAATATGACAGGAACAACATACTAGTTTGGCCATAAAAAAGCTACTACAAAGTTGCATACACAATTTTGCAACAATTGGCTTTACCAGTATTCACAATAATATTGTATATTTCATTTCAGGATATTAATAAGATTATTAGAGTCATCAAAAGATCCATTAGTTTTAGCTGTAGCTGCCCATGACATTGGTGAATATGTCAGACATTATCCAAGGGGGAAACAGTGAGTATACATATGCAAATTCTATTGATTATAGTAGAGTAATATTTAGTGTGACTCTAATTAGTGATTTCTAAAATGTGTGCTTGCGAGTGGCTAGTGTTCAGTTTGCAACCCAGTCTGAGTGAGAGTGGCCAGTGTTTAGCTTGCAACCCAGTCTGAGTGCTAGTGGACAGTGTTTAGTTTGCAACCCTGTCTGAATGAGAGTGGCCAGTGTTTAGTTTGCAACCTAGTCTGAA